CTTATGCTCGCCAGAGAAGCACTTATTCCACTGAGCTATCTCCCTGGGCCCCCTTTTGGGTTTTTTAATAAACAGTATGAAATAGGATAGGGTAAATCTAAGGCACACTGAATAAAAAAAATAAGGTTCGTTTTTTTTGCCTGGGTAGCTCAGGCTGGTCTCGAACTCACAGCAAGTGCTGGGACTACAGGTGTGTACTACCATGCTCAGTTAGGTGTATTAGTTTTTAAAATATGGGAGGGCAGCCAGACATGGTGCATGCTTGTAATTCCAGCACTAAGGGAGACTGAGGCAAGATGGAGGGAAGTTATATAGCCCTGCCTGGGCAAACCAGCAACTTCTTTTTTCTTTTCTTTTTTTTTTTGCAGAACCAGGGATTTGAACTCAGACCCTTGCACTTGCCAGGTAAGCGCTTATTCTACTGAGCCATCTCCCCGGCCCCTCAAGCCAGCAACTTAGTGAGCAACCTTAACTCAAAATTAAAAAAAAAAAGCTAGGGATGTAAGTCCAGTGTGAAAACCCTGGTTCCCATTACTGCAAAAAAGAGAAGGAAAAAAGAAAAAGAAAGGAAAATGAGGGCAGATCAGGGAAAAGCAAATCCCAGCCCCAGGGAGAGGGGCCCTTCTTCATACTGACTAGGACAGCTGGAGTAGGGTGGCAGGCGGTAGCTTACAGTACAGTCCCTGCCTAGCACACACAAGACGCTGGCTCTGATTCGCAGCACTGCAAAAGAACCGAGTCAAAAATAATCGGCGCTGCTGAGGATGCAGTGCGGCTGGGGGCGCACAGGGCACAGCCCGACAGCTCCTCAGGGGGAGATGCAAAACTCACGCTCGATCCAGTGATTCCAGCCCTACCAACACCAATGGAAACGAACCTTTCTACGGATTTTCACAGATCTGATATTGGGCAAAAGTTTGTACTTTACATTCCTACAAAAAAAGGTCATTTAAAAATGAACACTTCAGGGCCAGGGAGATGGCTCAGTGGAATAAGTGCTTCCCTGGCAAGTGCAAAGGCCTGAGTTCAATCCCCGGTTCCAGCAAAAAAAAAAAAAGAACACTTATTTAAAAAAATGAACACTTATAAAACCAAAATTTAAGGGGCCGGAGGGATGGCTCAGTAGAATAAGTGCTTGCCTGGCAAGTGCAGGGACCTGAGTTCAATCCCTGATTCTGCCAAACAAAAACAAAAAACAATAAAAAGCAATAAAACCAAGGGGCTAGGGATATAGCTCAGCGGTGCCGCACCCGCCTGTCAAGTATGAGGTCCTGAATTCCATTTCTTT